CCAACGAGAACAACCTAGTGCAAAAAACTTTTGTAAGCAATCGATAAAATTTAACAGTAACAATCCAGCTCGTTGAGAATGCTAATACCTGCTTTACCCCGAGGACCAAAGGAATAAGGCACTCAGGTTCTGTAGCTTGAGTAGACTCATCAATAAGTACCTATCAGAGAGGAAGTCAATATCAGCTTCCACAGAATTAGAGATGCTCAAAATTAAGTAATCGATCTTAACCTGTCTAAATCTAAAATTTGACAACCGAAGATCCGCAGCACCAACACAAGTGCAGCAAATGACATCAGCACTCTGGGTTATCTCGCGTTCTGTAGCTCGTTTCAAATTTTTGTATTTCTTTTCATCACTGCTTGACAGCTCACCTAGTGACAATAAATACGAGAAAGCAAAGATACCGTAAAATTCATGTTCACTTCAAAAATCAATTACAAGAAACTGGCAATAAAGATTAAAAAATGTCAACTACAGATAACAAGCTGAACAATGTGGGACCTTGTTCATCTTTCAACTGCTGTAGCTTATGCAGTTCGCTCTTCTCAGATGTGTCAAGATGCCGTACCTGCAACCAACCATTCGTATGAATAATCTACAAACAGAAAAAGATGAAGGGGACAGAACGAATCAGGGAGTTAAAGTAAGCCACGATGTGAGCAAACCTGGTAGTGAAGAGTCAAATGCTCTACAGGAGAACTTACAGCTTCCCTTGACTTTGCACAAAGGCGAACAACCTGACATCAGAGTAGGAAGAAGTTAAAAAAGGAACAATATGATTTGACAAGTATATATTCAGCTTCTTCAAATAAAATTGGATGGGAGCAACTTTCCAAAATGAATAATAAATAAGAGTATCCAGGGTCTAGTGAAAATTTAAATTCAAAAAAAAAAAAGATATATATATATATATACTAAACACTGGGGGCCAAATATTAACCTTTAAACCAGTAGCACTAATTTTTTCCGCTAGTTGGTCGACAGCAACATTGCTTGGGGCGCAAACGAGGACCTGTTAGGCAATAAATTAGATCTACGGTAGTCGACTCACAAAAAGCATCCTGAAAGATCAATATTCAGCTTTACCTGTCCCTGGCCCTGTTTTGACATGTGATACACAATTGCAGCAGAAGTCACAGTTTTGCCTGTGCCAGGTGGACCTTGAATCAAGCTGATGGGCTTCTGAAGGACACTCTTCACCGCATTAACCTGATCAAGGATACCACATAACCTATTAGAAATCCGTTATGTAGATTCAGAAAGTAATTTCTCATTGTGTTGACAAGGCACATGGGATCAGAAAAATGCTGAAAATTAAAAAAAAAAAGGCAGTTACGACAAACATTCTCCATGAACTTGATAAGCTGAAAATCATTAATTACCTGAGATGCATTCAGTTCTGGAAGACCAAAAACTCCAAAACGTCGAGGTAGTGTGTTTCGGACCATCTGGGCCTCAACTTCATGTCCCAATAACTGATGGTAAATATAACTTCAAAAAACAGAAACGTAGTAATTCAGTGGTTAATCAGCGTGCAGTAATAAAGGGACACACACCAAGAAGGAACTAGGCTTTCAGTTGACTGACTTACCCACTCACACTTGTTTCATCTACAGCAAAATTCTTCATTGCTCCCTGCATTCGATCAAAGCTTGTACTTTTCCAAACAAAATCAACACAGAAACCATGGTTCACATCAATTGGAACTCCCTACACACGAGTAAATAAGGTTGAGCATACTCTCCACAAGTCAATGTCAAAAGCAAGGCTAACAATTGTATCAAACTCACCTGATTAGCTCGGAGTTCAAGAGCAACCTCCTCTTGTGCAGTTAGCTTGATCTAAAGAAATTTAAAAGAAATCTAGGTAAGGGACCTAAACGCTCTCACTTACATGATACACCCTGCTATCGAATATATTGTATGTAATCATCTCTAAACCAGGAAAGAGGCATACCACATGCCCAACTGATTGCCAAGCTGGATGAGCAGCATCTCCTGAGTAGCGAAGACGTAGTTCATCACCAGGCACCAATCGCAATTCATTTTCCTCCTGCATCAAAAGTTCAAATCAGACAATGTCCTAATTAAGTTTTAATAGCGACCACTAAGTTTCAACCACCTTTGGGAAGACGAAGTATGCAACGCGCTTCTTGTTAAGACCAATATCCCACCGAACTGTGAGGTTTTCCTTGCTTTGAGACTCTTTCATCATCTACAGCAGAATCAAGATGATAAGCCCCAACCGAACAAGCATAGAAGGGAAATGGAAAATAATCCTACAAATACTAAACACACACCTTGTCATAATCTGCTTCGAGCTTAATAAGAGGTGCAAACACATTTTGATACTGCACAAGGAAGAACCACCAAAAAGGTTAAGAATAAAAGCATAATACTAACAGTGACCTCGTCCAATAAACTAGCATGATGAATTAACTGCTTCTCTGGAGCATAAAATTACTTTTTTGTTTCACAAAAAGAAGAGAAAAAGTATACCTGATATGCATCTTCATACTTGGTTTGAACAGGCTGAGGTTCATCATCTACACCAGGTTTTTCAAGGTCCTCAAGGGTAGCATCCGGATTTGTCTTCCATAATTCTTCTATCTTATTTATTTGCTGTGCACTAATTTGGCGTGCCCTCAATTGTTCCTGCTCTGATGGGACCTGCAAAACAAGAATTAATAATAGCTCTAATATGAGAACGTCTTTTTAAGGGGGAATAAAAGTAAGGATAGAAACGAACCTTAACAAGCCAAGGGAGGAAACACCTGTCGTCAATCAAGGGACACCACTGACTTAGGTCCCAGTTCATATCCTTCAAGGCATTTACATTTAAACAAGGATCTCTACAGAGAAGAACGACAACACTGTCTGTCTTTGCCGAGATGAAACCGAGAAGAAAGACATTTCGACACCCACAGTTGTAGCATTCGAGAATTGTTTCCCCTAGCGGACTGTCTCTATGGAGACAAACTTCCTTGTGTTTTGCTCGAACCTTAAAAATAAAAGGATATACATTTAAATCCTTAAAAGGGTGCAACTTCCCGCAACCCAAGAGTTGAAAAGTATTCCTATAGCATGGCAATGGTGCAGCAAACAAACCAAACCAGATACCTATCAATACCAGCCTTAACCACAACAGAAGAAACTACAACACTTCCAGACAATGGAGACGAAGACCCGAAAAACAAAAAAAAAAACAGACTACAGAGGCGTTTACTAACCAGGTGATTCACGATATGCGAGCCGGAGGTGTTACCCCTTGAATTGCAGAACCACTTCCTACAGGACGCCACATTACATCTAACCACGCAAGCTGGGTTCGAGATACCACAATACTTACACGCGTGCTCCGTGAAATCATTCTTACCATAATCGAAACCATCATCGTCTCCAGCCTCCTCAAAGTTCAAATTTCCCATACCCGTGGCCAATGCATCGACCTGGCTGCTACAACTAACACCGCCACTTGCCCCAACTCCACCACGTCCCACTTTGCCGCCATTCCCGGCACTTGCAGAAAGGGAAGACGGTGACGAAGCCTCGGAATGATGATCCGCGGCAGCTCCTCCTCCGCCGCGATCGGAAGGGTCGACGATGGAGATGGAATCAGACGGGGTCGGCCATGCCGTCGGTGATCGGAACTCTGGGTAATCGAACTCGGAATCACCTTGAGAATTGAATTCCAAAAAGGTATACGCGTCGGGCACCGTGTCTGGCTGCGATGCCGTCTCAAAGAGATCGCTCTGTTGAGAATCCATAGAAATCAAGCTCCCTGGTTACGATCGTGTCGCTCTTTGGCTCGTTTCTTCTTCAATTGTTTTCTTCCTGAACTGCGATAGAGTTAGGGTTAGGGTTATGTGCGCTAGTGAAAAGTGAAAACGGACCCCTGAACAATTCGAGAGAATTGGAAACCACTGTGCGTGTCAATGAAGAAGAAAGGGGGCGCGTGGGAAAAATAAAATGTGTATATATAATATTGCTTACGTTGTTTACACGCGCCATGCTCTAAGTTATGGGCTTCCCGCACGTGATGTTGGGCCCTTCCCAGTTTCCATATCGTTACTCGTGAGGTGAATAATCATATGTTTTATTTTAAATGTGTCAAATAAAATATTCTTAATCAAATTAGAAGATGGGCTAATAACACCTAAACCGATCTAGTCCACGACCATGAGACATGGAAAATCGGATATTTCTGTTTACTTAAAACGATTACAATAATCTTGTAAGGAATTAAGTTAAACTGTTAAAGGGGTACTTAACATTAGGCTTTTAGGACTTTAATTTGTTTTAAAGTTTTGAAAGTCAAAAATTCGCCGATTATGTTTTTATTTCTTTTTTTCTCCAAAGTCTCAGTTGCTCACGTCTTTTTTTTAATTTCTAAACTTCATTTTTAAAAATAAAACTACATTTGTGAAATTTTTAATTTTTTAAAATCAATTTTTATTTTACAAACAAAAGCTTTTACAATTTAATTTTAAAATCAAAATCAAAAATAACAGTTCTTACCAAACAGCTCCTCAATTTTCCTTTTTAAAGTATGATGTTAAACAGATGTTCCAACTTTGTGTGGTTTGATCATAAAAACAAGTTATATTATTATTTTGTAATTTAATGATCTAACATCATATAAGCATATTAATATATTATATATCTCCTGTTTATCAAAATAATCACATGTATACATCTTATTAATCACTTAATTAGTATATTACCACATTCATAATCACATAAGCAATTTTCTATAACAAGTTCGGAGTTCAAAATTCGTATATAACGAATAACCAAAACTTCTCTGTATTCCTTTTTAAGCCAGTATTTATATAAACCAAAACAAATTAAGAACCAAAATCAAAAGCAACTTAAACCATACAAAAAAATAGATAAATTACAAAAATAGAAAAAAATTAACAAAAAAAACAACCACACGTACATAAAAGGAAATGAAAACCATCCATTTACGTAGCCTCTACTAATTGGTAACCTCCTAAGCCATGAAATAGTCGCAAAGCCCTTTCTTCCTCTTCGTTTCTAATTGTTGTTTACGACATAAATCGATCGTAGAGAAGTCTACCTTGTAGACCTCTCTCTCAAAATCGAACCCCATTTCACGTTACCAAACGTCAAACAAACATGCGTCTCTCTCGTGGCCCTAACCCTTTCGTTCTCCTCTTTGTTCTCATTGTTGCACCAGCCGTATCGGCCGATGTAGCTATCCTGAGAACGGACTACTACCAAAAAACATGTCCCGATTTCAACAAGATTGTGCGTGAGGCCGTTTCAACAAAGCAATCTCAACAACCAACAACCGCGGCTGGGACACTCCGTCTCTTTTTCCACGATTGTTTCCTCGAAGGTTGTGATGCGTCCGTTTTGATAGCCACAAACTCGTTTAACAAAGCAGAACGTGACGATGATCTCAACGACTCTCTCCCAGGAGATGCTTTCGACATCGTCACTAGGATCAAGACAGCTTTGGAACTGTCTTGTCCGAGTGTGGTTTCCTGCGCTGATATTTTAGCGCAGGCTACACGTGACCTTGTCACGATGGTAGGAGGACCTTACTTCGATGTGAAGCTTGGTCGTAAAGATGGACTCGAATCCAAAGCACACAAAGTCCGAGGAAACGTCCCGATGCCAAACCAGACGGTCCACGACATCCACGGGATGTTCAAGAAAAACGGGTTTACACTACGCGAGATGGTTGCGTTAAGCGGAGCTCACACAATCGGATTCTCTCACTGCAAAGAGTTTAGTGACCGTCTCTACGGACCAAAAGCCGATCCAGAAATCAACCCGCGATTCGCAACCGCTCTAAAAGACCTATGCAAAAACCACACCGTGGACGACACAATCGCGGCGTTTAACGACGTGATGACACCAGGAAAATTCGACAACATGTACTTCAAGAACCTAAAAAGAGGGCTAGGGCTTTTGGCTTCCGACCACATCCTTTTTAAGAACAATAGGACGAGACCGTTCGTTGAGCTTTACGCAAGTGACGAGAAAGCATTCTTTGAGGATTTCGCACGTGCGATGGAGAAACTCGGCACTGTTGGCGTCAAGGGCGACAAGGAAGGAGAAGTGAGACGTAGGTGCGACCACTTCAACAATCTCAACGTGTAAGAAACAAAAAAACACACAAATACAAGATAACAATATTTCAGTTTTTTATTTGCGTGGAGAAAGGAGAAGAAAGTTTTCGTTGGTATATATATTCTAAAACTATGTATTATAAGCATGATCGTGTAACAATTCAAGATGGGATGTTTAATTCTTTCGTAAAAATGCAAATTGTTATACTAAAAAGTATATAGATAAAAAAAGTATTATATATGTCGATCAGTTGTAGTTAATATACATGTTATATTTGATAATCTTGACAAGAAAATTAACTTAACTTTGAATCAATGGGTTTTTTTTTAGTGTTCCATGATTTTCATTGTGAATGGTAAAAATTTATTAGATATTTTATTCAACTGTATTTAACCAGTTACGCCCTTAACAAATGAACATGCATTTCTGCTCCAATTATTTTGCTCCTTACTATTTAGATTATATGGTAAAAATATCATGACATCAACGTTATCAAATATATATTGTGCGGAAATTACAAAAGAAAATATTTCTCAGATTCGATTTTAATTTTGGTATCAAAACTTTGTAGCTATGGATCTTGTGATGTTTGTGAGCTCATGCTTTTCGGTCCACCGGAATTTTCGTTAATTATAGCCTTATGTTTAAGGGGAGTGGCAACGCGTGACATGAGCCATCTAAAAAAAGATTGTGCTTGAATAATACTTTCTCTTGTCCATAAAAAAAATTTGCTTATAAATTAATAGATCACAAGTTACTATAGTTCTTCAATCTGTTCTCTCTGGTGTTTAATTTGCTTCCCATAAATAAAACAAGAATGAAGTTCTTCATTTATCTAGTTATGTTCATTATCCACTTGAGTGGTATCATCACAGCTAACAATGTGATAGATTCCTTGATTCGAGATTCTTGCAAAAAAGCTTCAAAATATGAGGAATCAGAACAAGATTACTACAACTTATGCATCACATCTATCAAAGAAAATCCAGAGACTCAGAAAGCCAGAAACATCGATGATTTGATCGTGGTAGGAGTCAAAAACGCTATGGTGAACACGACAAACGTGAAAGGAATCTTGGAGAAGATTCTGAAGGAGAGAAAGTATAAGAGTAAGTTGAGTGCGAAGTTGATGCGTGATTGCATTAAGCTTTATTCTAATGGCATTGACTCGTTAACCAAAGCTTTAAAGTTCATAAAAATGAGGGATTACAGGAAGGTCTCCGATAATATAAGCGATGCAAGAGCTGCTCCAAGAACTTGTGAAATGGGATTCAATGGCGATAATAACCAGACATCTCCGGTGACGAAAGAGAACGATGTTCTCTTCCAAATGGCAGATATTCCTCAGGCTTTTAATTACGATTCCCATCTTGATACGCCCACCGTGTAACTGTTTTTTAATTGTTTTATAAGAGAATATACTAATGTAGGATATAAAGTATACAGATAGAAACATATTATATACGTCAAACAATTGTAGTTAACATACATTTTGTAGTTGATAATAATGTTGCCAAATAATTAGGAAACCAAACCATTACTTTCCCCTGTGATTTTAAACAATTATTATTGTTTTTTTTTCGTACCAAAATCTATTTTGAGAAGCATGAATCAGTCAACTTTAAGCTACGGTTCAATAAGTCATTTAAGAAGAACAAACTATCACTCTCATGATGAAAGATTCTTAAACCTCTAACATGTTCTCGATTCTTACTCCATTCTTATCCATTACTTGCTCACAATCTCTTTCCAGGACGATCCAACGGAATCCATACATTTCATACATTTCATACATTTCGATTTACATAGGTTATGAAATTTGTAATTTTAACAAAAAAAAAATTGATTGGATTAATATGCCGTATAGGATTCAATGAAGGAAACATCAGTGGGCTCTTTCAATTTTCAATCACAAAGCAGAGGCCTTTCTTTGGCAAAATACATTCAACATAGTTTTCATCTTGTCCCTATAGCAGAGGCCTTTCTTTGGCAAAATTGACTGGATTAATATGCCGTATAGGATTCAATGAAGGCTGTGATTGCTTCTTCTGCTGCTGGTGCTATTGCGTTGAGTCGCTGGCGCAATCATTCTTATAAACTGCGACTGTGTTTTTATGCATTAAGAGTATAATTAATGGTCCAAACACATACTAATTGATGATAGTGTTAGAAAAAGTTTTGAACTGGTGGTAATTTTGTGAATAAGGGTGTTCAATAATGACTTTTTCAAAAAGAAAATTTCTTTAATATTTGTATAAAGGATCAAACATATAACACTGTACTTTTATGATCTCAAACGTACGTGATTAGATATATGCAGAATTTGAAGAGTTAAATGATTTTTTTTTTGTTTTGTTTAAAATTTGTGTTAAGTGTATTGAGTCTCTTGACCCCAAAAATAAAAATAAAGGCAACGAAGTAAGCGGAGTGGTAACGCGTGACATGAGCCATCTAAAAAAAGCATGTGTTTGAATAAATACTCTCATATGCGAAGTTTTTTGTTTGCTTATGAATTTGATTACAAGTTACCATAATGCTTCAAACAAATAGATATACAATGAAGCTGTTGATTTACCTAGTTGTGTTCGTCCTCCTCTTCAATGGCTGCACGGCCAACAACGTGGCAGATTCACTGATTCAAAAATATTGCAAGCAAAGTTCAGAATATCCAAGTGCGATAAACAATCCGAATTACTACAACTTTTGTATCGCATCTCTCAAAGAGAATCCTGAGAGCCAGAAAGCAAGGAACATCGATGAATTGATCGTGATAGGAGCCATTAACGCGATGTCAAACCTAACGAACGTGAAAAGAATCGTGGAAAAGATTATAAAAGAGAGGAAATATAAGAGTAGGCTTAGTAAGAAGTTGCTGGGAGATTGTGTTAAGCTTTACTCCGAGGGTTATCACTCGTTAACCATGGCTTTGTAATACTTCAAAGCGCGGGATTTTAGTAAGGCTTCAAACAATATTAATGAAGCAAAAAATGGACCTACACTTTGTGAATTGGAATTCAACGGCGAGAATCAACAAGTATCTCCCGTGAGGAAAGAAAACGATGTTCTCTTCACCATGATCGATATTCCTTACCTGTTTAATAGCATTGCTCATAATTAGTTTAGTTGAGCTGCTGCCATCAGAATAGCGTCAATGAAAATGCATCACAAATAAATAAAAAAATGCATCACAATTTCTTTAATTTCCCATTAATTCTTTTACATTATGTATGATTTTGGAAACACATTAACACGTGGCTAAATTCAACGTGCTAATATGGGCAAATATTGCATGTTGACCAATATCAAACAAATAAATTGATTAACATGCAATAGTTGAGAAATAAACCATTCAAAGATATGTGAAGAAACAATGACGTATAAGGAAAGAGTTTTAAAAATAACGAAAAAAAGAGAAGAAGGAAAGAGTTTAATTAAAAACGAACAATTAGGCCTGGAATGGTAAAAGCACTACGTTAGATAATAGTATTTACTCTAAACTTCTTTGTTTCGACTTTACTATAAATTGAATCACAAAGTTAAATAATTTTCTTCATCAATATCGATTCTCATATCTCTGCTTCCCCAAAATAAAATTTAAAAAAATGAAATTCTTCGTTTCATTTGTTATGTTCTTTCTCCTCTTGAACGGTTTTGCAACGGCGCAAACTCTGATTCAAGATTCTTGCAAGAAAGCTGCAGCGAGAGACCCGAGCTTTAAATACGATTTCTGCGTCCAATCTCTTGAAGCGGATCCACAGAGCAAGACAGCAACTAGTCTCGAAGGTTTGGTCATAGCATCAATGAAGAACGCTGCGTCCCAAACAATTAACGTGAAAGGGATCGTTGAAAAGATCCTCAGTGACAAGAAAACTTCACTTGGTATTGAAATGGCGTTAACCGATTGCATCGAGCTTTACACGGATGCTAATGATTCTATAAACGAGGCTTTAACGAATGTTAAGTCTCACGATTACAGAACCGCTAACGTGCATCTGAGTGCTGCTATGGTTGATCCGAGGACTTGTGAAACTGGATTCAAAGATTTGAGGCACCAGTCTCCAGTTACAAATGAGAACGATGTTTCGATTCAAAAGATTTTAATTTCTTTAGCTTTTACAAATATGTTATGATGATATTACCAAAAGTGTATAATTTAACATTGATATGTTTACTAAAGAAATATATACTTAAGAGCAAAAACATTGTTACAGGATAAATCGCTATTTACAATTATATAAATATGATTTAGAAACACTAAAATGTTAATTATATTGTTTTATTGAAATGCTAAACATACGCTATTTTTATGATTTAAGAGGCCAATAATCATCAATGCGTGGAATATATGCCTGTTCCATTTCATTAAGTAGGTACATAGTACATACTATGTTCATTTAATAAAATTATTATTAAATTTTACGATTGCCAGATATATTCCATTGCATGCATAGATTTATCCACTGATAAGAGACATAAGACAGCCGAATTAGTGTCTAATTACCCAAAGAGAGGCATCTTTTGGATGTTGAACTAAAACTCACTTTTGAGATATGGAAACATTAATGATTTTCTGCTTTTATAAATACCTTGTGATATGGAAACAAAAAAAATAATTATACATTACATAGAATCTGTAAAAGTGATTATAATTTATTTCATGCAGAATTTAAGTTCAATATGTGCATACAATTTTTTTTTGTTCAAGAACTTCCACTAACTGCAAGGCCAATTCATTCACATTGAAGAATGTTATTGTGTGTGATTATGTCTAGTTTCAACTTACGCTAAGAGATACAACATATGGCTTTCGGATTCTCATCGCTAAACAACATAAATTTCTCTAACTCATTGTCATAACACCTGAAAACCGACTCATCCCCTAAACCGATCATTTCCATATCAACTTCGAGAACATTTTTATTCTCGGCGTTCTTACTAGATTCTTCATCTTTTTTTTGGGTAAAAAAAGGTGTTTTTCACCTCTTTGCCAAGAATCCAAACAATATAAATAGTTCCTCCTAACGAGTGTTGAACCAGGGTGGATGGACACATACCCAGACTTTTTGTACCACTAACCCAACACAACGTTGTTGGTTAGATTCTTCATCTTTCTCTTCCTTCTCTACAATCTTTACTCTTTTGTCTGTCTTCTTCTTAAGTTTCTTCAACAACTTCTTCGGATCAAAATATCCCTTGACCACAACCTTGTGACTATTAATATCCGTTAAAAATGTTTCAACACCTTTGAATTTGGAAACAATTCCAGCAATTTTTCTCTCTCATTCGTTGCAATGCATCGATATATTGAATTCGACCTCCATATATCTGACATTATCCCTTTTTCTTTTTCTTTCCTCATTGAAGTGACAAGAGAAGTCTCAGCGTCGGATCATAGAAATGTTTTACCAAAAATAACAAAAAAAATAAGTCTTAAGTTTTTTTACCAAAAAATAAAAATAAATAAGAAAAAGGCCAAGTTTTGTTTTTTTTTTTTTTCTTTTCAGTAAAATGTAAAACGCCAAGTTAAACGAATAATTAGGCCATACGACGTAAGCGGAGTGGTAAAGCGTGACATGAGCGTTGCAAAAAACAAAAGCCGTTATGTTAGTTAACAATCTCATGTCATAACACAACAACCACAAGATTCTTCGTTTTATAAATTATAAATTTGGATCACAAAAAAGTCAATACTTTCTTCAACAATCGATTATTCTCATTAGTCCTCTGCTTCCCCTAAATAAATTTTTTTTTTTTAAAAAAATGAAATTCTTGCTCTACCTTGTTACGTTCTTTCTCCTCTTAAACGTTTTCGCAACCGCACAATCTCTCATTCGAGATTCTTGCAAGAAAGCTGCAGCTAAAAGCCCAAACGTCAAACTCGATTTCTGCGTCAAGTCTCTTGAAGGTAATCCGCAGAGCAAAACCGCAAAAACTCTCGTCGAATTAGTCATTGCATCAACGAAGAACGCTGCGACGAAAACGACGAGCTTGAAAGCAATGGTTAACAAGATTCTCAAGGAGAAGAAATATGCGAAAGACAGTGAGATGCCATTACGAGATTGCCTCGAGCTTTATACCGATGCTTCTGCTTCCTTAAACGAAGCTTTGACGAGCGTTAAATCGCGAGACTACAAGACCGCTACAGTGGCTATGAGTGCTGCGATGGATGCACCGAGCACATGTGAAACTGGATTCAAAGAAAGAAAAACGCCTCAGAAATCTCCGTTTGCCAAAGAGAACGATGTTTTGTCTCAGACGATTCTGATTCCTTTAGCTTTTACAAACATGTTGAAATGAATATAATATTAAAAGTGTATTTTAGCACATTACATAATAGTATTATTGACATATATATATATATATATATACTTTAGAATTTAGATTAATCCGCTTGCTCACCATGATCAACATTATTTAATAACATTGCGCCTAAGAAGAGGTGAAACGTCAATGAAAATGCATCAGATCATTTTTTCTATAAATTCCTTTTGCTTTTACAAATATGTTGATCAGATGAGATTATTAGATTATATTTATCAAAAAAAAAAAACATTAGATTATAGTAATCTTATATCTCAAATAAGAACTTAAGAGTAATGATTATTGACATGTACTAATTCACTCACTGCAGTATCTATCTTCACGTATTACAAAACAACCCTGATGATGATTGGTAACTAAGAATACATTTATGGCAAAAAAAACATAAAACAGATCTAAAAAATATTTTGAATCTTTAGTTGCATAATTAAGTATTAGTCTTTTAAATATTCACACCATGGCCAGAAACAAACATCAAACACAAAAGGGGGGTTAAACAAAAAGACCCCGATGAATAAGAAGAGACAAGATGATAAGTTTGTTTGCAAATTATTTTGTATATCTCTCTTGCCAAATGGTGTAAGTCAATATTTAATGTTGTATAATTTGGAAACACTAAAACACTTGACTAAATTTTAACGTGCATATATGGGAGACAAAATATTGCATGTAATTTTTTTTAAAAATGGCACGTTCACCAATATGAAATAAATTGATTACTCAAAAGGAAAAAAAAATATTAAACGATATATCTTTGTTTTTTAAAAAAAAATTAATATGTTGGCGTAGAAGAGTTATTATCATTTTCTATAGTGTATGATTTGGAAACACATTAAAACGTGACTAAATTCAACGTGCATTTATGAAAAGCAAATATACGTTTATGGAAACCAAATATTGCATGTTGATTTTCTCTAAAAAAAGAAAAAATTGTATGTTGACCAATATATCATGATTTTGTTGGACCAAAAAAAAGATATGATCAAACGAACAATTATGCCCACAATGGTAGAAGCCGTTACGTTATATTATAGACTTACACTCTTACTCTAAAATGATTTGTTACAATTTTACTATAAATTGAATCACAAAGCTACTTTTTTCTTCATCAATCATTTCTCATTGTCTACTCCCCAAAAGAAAAAGAAAAAAAAAATCATGAAATTCTTCGTTTCCTTTGTTATGTTTGTTCTCCTCTTAAACTGTCTCGAAACCGCGCAAAATCTGATTCAAGATTCTTGCAAGAAAGCTGCAGCAAAAGACCCGAAGTTCAAATACGATTTCTGCGTCCAATCTCTTGAAGCGGATCCACAGAGCAAGACAGCAACTACTCTCGAAGGTTTGGTCATAGCATCAACGAAGAACGCTGCGTCCCAAACAATCAACGTGAAAGGGATCGTTGAAAAGATTCTCAGATCTTCACATGGTATTGAGATGCCGTTACAAGATTGCATCGAGCTTTACACCGATGCTAATGATTCTTTAAACGAGGCTTTGACAAACGTTAAGTCTCGCGATTACAAATCCGCTAACGTGCATCTGAGTGCTGCTTTGGATGCACCTACCACTTGTGAAACCGGATTCAAAGAAGCGAAGAAACCATCTCCGGTTACAAATGAGAACAATGTTTCGGTTCAGAAGATTTTGATTCCATTAGCTTTTACAAATATGTTGTAATGAAATTACCAAAGTGTATTAATTACATGGATTAATGTTTATGATTCAATTAGCTTTTATCTTTTTTTCCCCGTTTCTTTGAGTTTGTTAAAACCAACAATCAGGCCATGCAACGTAAGCGGAGTGGTAAAAGCGTGTGACATGAGCGTTCTAATTAAAAAACAAGCCCCTTTATGTTAATTAACAATCTCATGTCATATAACACAACAACCGTAAAATTCTCCGTTTCATTAATAATAAATTTGGATCATAAAAAGTCATTACTTTCTTCAAGACTTCAACAGTCGATTCTTCTCATTAATCCTCTGCTTCCCCCAAAAAAATGAAATTCTTGCTCTCTACCTTGTTATGTTGTTTCTCCTCTTAAACAGTTTCGCAACGGCACAATCTCTCATTCGAGATTCTTGCAAGAAAGCTGCAGCTAAATGCCCGAACGTCAAACTCGATTTCTGCGTCAAAGTCTCTTGAAGCTAATCAAAAAGTCTCGCCAAATTAGTCATGACATCAACGAAGAACGCTGCGACGAAAACGACGAGCTTAACTTGACATTGACAAGATTCTCATGGAGAAGAAATTTCCAAAAGACAGTGAGAGGCCGCTACGATATTGCCCCAGGCTATCATACAACTGCTACTGCTTCCTTAAACGAAGCTTTGCACATCGTTAGGCTTAGATTCGCATAACGGCATAAGCTTCCGTGTCTATGAGTGCTGCAGTGGATGCACCGATCAAATGCACAAACTAGATTCAAAGAAAGAGAACGATGTTTTGTTATCAGACGTATCTGATTTCTTTAGCTTTTTTAAACTTAAAGAATTTGATTAAAGAATAATAATATTGATAATATAGTACCTTGGATTAATCGGCTTGCTCACTGTAGAACCAACGCTCGTAGCCTCTAAGCCTTTTTAAAGTCTTGAATAAAGAGTTATCTGCATATTTTACACAAGCTTTAGATAAACCCAAAAACGTTTTTGAATTTGTATACCAATGTTGATACAGTTTTCTGGTTTTGATACATGATCCAGTATGTTCAAATCCGATTAAACAAACTCAAACCAAACCGAAAGAAAGAAAGCGTACACAATTCAAACTTCAATTTCTTTCAAATCTTCTAACAATGTATATATGAATCCAAAACTGATACCGAAACCATATTTTACCGAACCGAATGATGCTATTTCATAAGCCGAGAATTTGGCACAAACCGGCCTGGGAGACCTACCAAGTCGTACAAGCTTTCATCATAGAAGAGTAAAAGATAAAGTCAAAGTTTCCGTTTTCTTACATGCGTGCAATGTGAAGCCCATCGTCGCTATCTTCATCTTCTTCTTTAATCTTCTGATCATCGTCGTTGTAGTTACTTGATGATCCCAACAAGAAAGGTTGATCCTTTAGAATCGAAACCTGATCCATCGGTACAGCATTTCTTTTATAGTTCCAAACCAACATCGATGTGTAATCTTGAGGCGAAACAAGTCCATTCTCTCTAATAAATCTCTTCTGCTCTTCTAAGGTCTTTGGCTCATCAAGCATCAAGTACTCGATCAAAAACTTCTCGTGCTCAGGCCTCCAGTTACCCGGGAAAGGCGAGTAATCAGTTTCCGGAACAAGAGACATTCTTGTATAAACAAGTCCATCAACAGATTCAGCAAGACCCATCCTCAAGAGATTGTTATATTCCGGTGAAAGACCTTTCTTTTCCTTCAACGGACGGCTCAGATTCCGAGAAGCTCCCTTGTAAACTTTGGCTCGTGATCTAAGCTTATACTTTGCAGCATAAAGCTTAGCAAGCGAACCACGGATAATATAAGAACAGAAATTCACAATCTTCTTCCGGTTATCCGCAAACCGATACCACTCAGCAACTGTAGTCAGAAACTTATTCATCTGCGCGTTCGTATGAGCTTGAGTGGCGTGGAACATTCTAAAGCAAGGTTGTGGATCAGGATCACGATCTCCTTTTATAAAATTCAGCTTACGAAACTGTTTAATGCATTGCTTCAAGCTCGCTGTAACGGACAAAAGCGTTCCCACGCCTTTCTCGCTTATGATCTTCCCTCCCGTCGCAGTATACCTCAAAGTCGGATACACAACTCGACGACACAGAACATGATCAAGAAACATTATACCTTTGGTTATATGTTCAATGGGGGAGATTCTCGTTGTCGAGCCTAAGCATATACTTCTGATCAACAAACTCAATCAGCTCTTTCCTCAACGTCGCAGCATCAGCTCGAGGTCCACGCACTCCGATCAGTATATGACCTCCGTATCTAACATAATCCATTTTCCTTGTCTTGTCTGGACCGCTCGTGGGAACAAACTCAGGCCACGAGGTGTTTCCTTGGTCAGCTTCTCCCTCCGGGTTGTTCCATATAACATCGGTTTTAGAAGGACGGTAAAAGTCTTTCACTTTCGCTTCCATCCAACGATCAAGCTCATCGAGACACACGTTAACAAGAAGAGGACTAAGAATCCCACAATGTCCCCATTGCGGAGACTTCCCAGCTTCTTCAGGAGCAAAACCGAAGAAAGTCTCTAACCAGTAAGGATCAGGCTTTGGCTCATCGTCAGCCAGAACACGTTTCTTCTGATACTTTCTCTTCGTCGTCTTCTTCTTCTCTCCGTCCACAACTTTACTCGTTACCACCGGAGTAACCAACGCGGATTTAATCAAGTCGATCACTTTCTTGTCTCTAACATCTCTCATCAAAGAACTAATCACAAAACCAACTTTCATTCCATCCAAAACAACACTCAAATCACCTTTAACATACCACAAGTAACCAGCGAAGTTCCTCCGAATCACTCTCAAAACCGTGTGTGCAGTCCTCCCTGGCCTAAACGCAAACGACTTCTGAGAAAACCGAGACTCGTAAATCGGTTCCAATATCATCAACAACACTTCTTGCACTATCTTATCCTGAAACGGAGCTGGTTGTGTAGTAGTCAAAATCGCTTTGATCTTCCTCTTAGACAAAGACTCGTAATCAGTTTTATCCCTAGGAGATTTTATGTAGAAATCCAAACGAGCTCCCCATTTGAACCGATCATCGAGAACAGAGTTTCTCAGAGCTAACAGATTCTCTAAAGCTGATCTCTGAATGGAGCTACGAGGCATATAAGCACCTAATTCGTCACAGCAAACTTTCTGATAAGCTAATACCCATAACTCAAATCTTCGGAGATACGAGGCTAAATTGGTCGCGGTTTTGTCTGGCTCTTTGAAATTCTCGAGCCACATCTGAGAACAGAGCGAAACTCCGTCTTCTTTCAAAAGATTGGCTGGATCATCGGGATCTGGGGATTGTTGTTGTCGTCGCTGAGGCGCGAAGTAGGAGAGGTATCGGAAAATTGGAGAGCCGTTAGGTCTAGAAGTGAGTGGGTTGGTGACGAAGTAGTAAACGTTGCTACAAGCAGAAGAATGTTTGAGCCATTTGCAAGGACCTATAATGGAGAAGCTTCGACGCATTTTGGGTGATGGAAAATGAGTCTGTGAGATTCATATAAACGTTGTGTTAGAATCATCAATCAAAAACAAACAAACAAAACGGAATCAGTAATTGAAAAAGGAGAAGAAGATTGTGCAGTAAGTTCTTACAGAGACGAATTAATTGAAAAATTGGTGGAAGCTTCGTCTTCTTCAGAGAAATGGTAGAGACTGGTAACCCTCGTTAAACCCCCAAACCTTAAGGTTTCAGAGAAATCGCTGAACAGAGAATAAACATACTAAGCAGTTTAGATGTGGGCAAACAAATTGGGCCTCTAGTCAAAGGCCCAAGAGTGCCAACTGATACTTACTTCCCTGATTAAATTAAACCCCAATCATTTTTAATATTTATTTATTGTCCTTATTTAATTTAAACTTACTTGTGATTTTTATGATTGGTATATGGTCACCGCTACTAGGGGGGACAACTTGTTAGAGATAATCAGTCTTACGTGAGTTAACAAATATTTAATTTCATGTGTTTATATGATTATTTGTGTATCAAACGTAATCGAAATTCGCATATCTTAATATAGCTTAAATTATCGTGAAAGACATGGATATTTCACAAAACTCTGTGCAAGGGATGTAGAAAACAGAGATCACCTCCTCCTCACTTGTCGGTTCAGTGCTGAGATTTGGAAGATGGTGCTCGCAAGACTGGATCGCAATCAACCGCTGTTCTTCTCGTGGGCCGAGCTTCTCTCATGGATGAGTACGAGATCTCCCCAAACTCCATCTACTCTCAGAAAGCTAACAACTCATGCAACGATATACCACATTTGGAGGCAAAGAAATAATGTCCTGCACAATCAGCAAACAATATCACCGATGGCCATCTTCAAGATAATTGATTGAATGGTTAAAAACATAATCACGGCGAGAAGACACAGGCGTGCTTTCTCGGACTTAATGGTGTTCTGGATCCGATGATCTGGATTCTATTGTACATGTTTCATAATTTTAAGTAGTGCTCTCCTTATTTTTTATTTTTTTTGCCAAGGAAACTTTGTTTAGGTCTGCATGTTTGTATTCCTTTCTCTTCGTTTATAATGATATTAACATTCTTAGTAAAAAAAAAAAAAACTTTAGAAAAGCTTTTAACATCACATGGCTTTTTTATTTTATTTTTACATCACATGGTTAGAACTTAAGAAGCTTATAGAATTGTAATCATCAATGAAAAGAGAATTGAATCTTTGCGTAGTAGAGATGATTGTCAACAATAACAAAAGCAACCTTTCGGCGAAAAAAAGTTTTTTTTTTTTGTTGTTGAGTAATAACAAAAAAAAAACGAGATTTACATCGTAACATGAAAAGAAGAAGGAACTAGAAGAGTTAAAAGGTGTGTACAGATGTGCACAAAGAATCAAAGATTTGGTAAATCCTAAAAAGAAAACCAATAGTGTTGTTGGTTGGCTTTGGTTAATGCTTTTTTCCCCTTCTTTTGTCTGTTGCTTCTCCTTCTTCTCCCATAATAGAAAAAAATAATAATAAAATCAGATATCGAATATTTTGCTTTTGATTCCCTTTTTGCCTGTATTGTTAGAGATCAGCAATTGTAAAAAAAAAATTGTAGTTAGGAGGAAACTGAAGCTGTCACGTTACGGCTTTATCAACCCTTTCACTTTCAGACGTTTAAACCCACCAAAATGATTCTCATTCTTCAGCATCTTCTTCACGTCACTTTGCTGCTGAGTTTCTTTTATGTTTGAAACTACTAACACTTCTTCTTCTTCTTGCTTGCTAATAATACTGCTACTACTATATCTGCCTTCGTGGTAGTTCTGCGATCTCTTCAATCTTTTTAGTTCCTATTCTCATACAATAATTCACCAAAAAAAACTCAGGGTTGTATTCATTTATGAATAACTGTAAAAAATAATAAAGATGTTGTGTATTTATGCAGTACCTGATGATGCTCAGAGTCTCTTGTGTCAAGAATAACTGTTGGGTTCTCGAATTTCAACGACGAACGGCGTTTGACTCTGAAACTCTCGGAATCAGAACCGTCGCTTTCCTGATCCGCGACTATTTCATCTTGAACCGCAGAGAAGAACCGAGTTTTTCTGTTAATGCTGCTAGCTACTTCTTCAGAGAGCTTAGAGTCGATACTGCTACTATAGTTAGCTCGTTTATTTACCTGCTTGTAAAAAGAAACCAGAAATCGAATATTAGCAAGACCCGGTTTGAAGAAAGTTTGTTGTGAGTTCTTGGTCGGAAACTTACGTAATCAGCAGTTGTTGAGCATTCGTAATCATCAGCAACCGAGGAGATACATGAAGCATTCGCTTCGTAGCTCATGACAGGATTTCCAGGTTGCAACTGGCAATTAGATGTCATCTCTAACTCGGTATTGAAGTCAAAGTATATATTGGAATACGGTGAATATCCAGCGTCTTTTGCAGCTGGAAGTGTGATTGGCGATGGATACGTGTATAAATCTTCATCAGTTGAAATCATATCTGAAACTTCATCTTCTTCCTCAAACTTCTTTGCAGCAGCTTCCAGGTCTTTAATGTTATCTCTCAAGAAAAGAGTACGTGTTGTCCCGCATGGAAGGTCAAGCTTTTTAACATCTAGACAATGATACAATAACACCGTCAATTAGAAAACAGTAGTGATAAACAAGTCTCGATGGAGATAACAGAGAAGAAGGTTTTACCATGGCGGAGACAAACGGGATGTGAGTAGCAATCGCAGTTTATAAACGCCAAATAGCAATCCCTTTTACACAAACTGCATACAATGGTTCCATATGTGTTCGAAACAAGGCCTGTGCATAATCTTGACTTCATTAGAGACCATCGAGCCAGATGGAGAAAACGAATCAGGTGCACAAACGCAGTCTTGATGCTTCGTTGTCCTAACAATTCCGCAGGTGTAAAATCCAGATTCTCGGGTTTGGAACTTGAATTTAAAAGCATTGCTTCCTTACAAATCAATTCTTCATGAGGAAGCAATGGCAATCTGTTAAGATGTGCATACCGGCAACTAGCAATAGCTCCAAAAGGAAACCAGTCACCCATCGCAAAGTTCACTGCCTCACCACAATTAAAGCCTGTAAAATTTATCAAAAACAACCACAATTTCAGATGACGATGATATCAACTATCTGACCAATAAAAATGTAGATTCAGACAAATATGTCTTACCGTGGCTGAAACCAGCATGATAAGCCCTAGGGAATGTAACGACAAACTCTCCAGGTTTCTGTACAGCCTTGTACACAGGCACATCATGGTCCAACAGAATCTTTGGAGGGAATATAGTAGTCTTCCCAAGAAGCACATCAAAGGCTCCATCTTCTCCATTCGTTGAGCAAATATCATCATTGTACACGCACTCTCGAACCACCTTTTCGAATTTAAGAGCAGCAGAACCTGGAATCCCATACCAAGTTTTGGATGCTCCACAATGTTGATAGTTAATGCTGTTTTAAGTACCAAGGTAAAATAAAAGTCAGATTAAGATACTTTAGATGGCCATCCTTAGAGCCAAAATTCATTTAACTGATCTTACCTGTACAAATAATGATCCTCAACATGCCAAGCAAACATACTAAACAGCATTCCGATGTAAAGCATCGGTTCAGTGACTCCCTGAAACGTGAATACAAGTTAAAAGAGAATACACAGAAACTTCTTATGTGACCTTAATGTAACTGTACTAATTTTCACATACCGGAATGGATGTTTCAAGAAGGCGCAAGGTAGACTTAGGCAGCCTCGAAACTTTCTGAAAGTAGAGAGAGAAAAGACATATAACTACCAAATTTTAAAAATATAAGCATAAAATTTCCATATAACCAAAAATAGAGAAAATCAAGTTGTAGTAAATCTATACATTCAAATTCCATTTGCTGCTTCCTAGCGGGTCACCTGGTGCAGATGAAAATGCGCTACCATCTACATCACACGCATACTCAACTGTTTCAGTCTTGCCACATGCAATTTCCTTCCAGAATTCTTTCTCCAAGAATGAGTCGGGCAAAGAGCCACCACTGCAATATCTACGTGCAAATACCTTGTTCGCCATTTTCTCATAATCACGAAATGTGTAGGTCCTGAGTAGTTTACAAATAATCAAAAACAAACCATAAGGTGAAGATGTAGAGCTAAATCATTCAGGGTTAAATACAAACCTCCCACTCATGAAGAATGTAACTTTATCATCAGAATCCCACTCAGCAAGTCGAAGGGGTTGTACTCTGGTAGTGAACTTAAAGTTCGATTTCTCTTTCATCAACACAGCGCCTGCAGGAACTGTTGCTGTCATAGGAGATACGATCTTGCAGATACCTGCAAAAAGAAAAAGAGAAATAAGAGACTGGACAAAAAACATAATGAGATTGATTACCCTACAGCACTAATCCTTGCATATTGAGATTTTAGCTTTCAATGTCAATTTTACCATATTTTGAAGCTTCTGGAAAAATCTTCTGCAAATAAGTCAAAGGATCCTCAAACTCATCCTTTGTCGGTCTGTAGACAGGACATTCTGGAAGCCTCTCGGTCCATTTTAGATCTTCTGTCTCAACCTTCTCCACCTTTTCCTTCAATAAGGCACCCTTACCAGTAAATCCACCATTCACTGTAGATACTGTGTCACTAGCAATTACCCGTAATCTCATTCCACATGATGCTGAAGATGGTCTCAACGCATCACCTCCACTCCTAACCATTGTGCTGAAGTCTACTGTTTCATTGACAGAGTCTGATCTCATTTTTTGAAGCCTTTTACGTTTCAGGTATTCTAACCCATCTTTAGCCTCTTTCGACAAGCAGACCCTCCTTTCAGCCTGACAAAACCGAGTGTAAGCTATCATTTCTCAAGATATACTATACTGAGTTATAGATACACAAATAGGTCCACCATTCACACTTAACCCATTATAGCTACAAAATATTTAACTCCAGAAAAGCCAAACATAAAAGTGAACACAGAAAATGGAAACAGTCAACACCAAGAAGTTTTAAAGGCTTATAAGCATATTCACTTCCACATACCGCCTTATCTCTTTGACCAATACCCTACAAAGTCAAAGAATATGACCATTTCTAAATTCAACAACTCCAAGAACGCGAGTCAGAAATCATCGATAACTTCTTCTACAACACACAATTGTGTTGACCTAAAAGTGAGATTCGTCGCAATTTCAACAGAAGACAGAGCTCAAATCTCAGGTTCACACGTGGCTTTTAGTAGAAAGAAACGTGTGGGAGATTATCCATTGACGATGAAATCACGACGCAGAGAATAAGGAAGACGAACCAATTCAAGAGAGAAATAAACAGCGAAACCTCGACAGAATTCAAGCAATGTAAGAGATCTGATCTAGCAAAATCGTTAACAACAGAATTCACGAGAAGTTCAAGCAAACATATGGCTAGAACAAATTTGCGACGGAGAAAAAATGATTTAGAAACTAGAAAATTGGAGAGGGGAAATCATCTCACCATAGCATTCCGTAAAATCTGTCTCCGTAAGCTTCCGTTTTCCCTCGACGGATTGAAAAAAACCAACCACAACAAGCAAAGCACAGAAAAATAACAGAGACGAAACCCTAGATCACGATCTTGACCTGCGGATTCAATACAAAGCCTGGCATGCAAACACGGTAAACCACATTCTACGAAAACGCCGCGAAACGAGCCAGGACCGAGTCAAACGCGGAGATCCGAATCGCCGCGTAGCCGAGTCAAACAAAACTTCGAAAATCAACCCATACACTATCCACCAGAGGAAGAATAGAAGCTATTCTCGACGAGAAACGGAATCTATTCGCCGAACGGGAAACGGTAAACGGCCGGGGAAATTGGTTTTCCGGCGTAGAGGAGAGAGACAAACTGTAGGTGCTAAAAAAAGGACCGAGAGAGGAAGAAACTTGGAAAACCGGAAAAAATTGTTAGGAAAGTATAATTTATAGTTTTATACTCCAAACGTGTATACTTTAGTGGCCACCGTAATTTTAAAAACAAAAGCCGTTCCTAATTAAAATTCAATAAAAATAGCTGGATCGGGAAGGTTCCGAAGTTCTTCTCAACCCATATAATCAAATATTGAGTATTTAATGAAACGCTCGTAACGCTGCAATTGTTGCGGTTATGATTGCTTTTTTTATTTACATTCAATTTAATGAAATAAACATATCTCTATCCCCTTTACAAAAAAAAAAATATATCTCTGTTCAAACAAAAAAAAACATATCTCTATCTATCAAAAAGAAAAATCAAAACAAAAACATTCCATCTAGTATTGGATAGAAGAATGAATGGGACTTAATTTGTTTCTATTTTTTTCATATTTCATTCACATATATATCATTTCTTTCTTTTGCTGGTAACAATTTAGCCTATAGTGGAAAGTTGATTTTTTAAAAGTTATAATGTATTTGTTTTGTTTATTTCATCCGTCTTAGTTTACCGTATTAATTCCGTCTCTTTTATGTTACTTAGAAACAGAGTAATATAATCTAATCGACATGTACCAGTAGTCCAGTACCACCAATAAGCTTTATAATTATATTTTTAAATCCAAATGTTCAATAAATAAAGAAATTAGATTCCCAACAAAAAAAAATAAAGGGAACTAAGTGTGAAGGAAAGTGGTGGTTGTTAGGTGGTTCAACCAAACGCTGCCAACCCCTTTAAAACGGCGTTTCATTCAAACGCATTCCCTTCAACAGTAAATAAATGTCATTACGGAGGGTATTCAAGTCATTTAAGGAGCAGAAAGTCGAAACGTGGTGACACTTCTGTGCTGTCTCTACACGTGGCAGGTGCATCGGGAAGACAATTGTTTTTCTTGGTTACTGTGGGATGGTGAAGTCACCGGATTTTCCGGTTCCCGGTTAAAGCTAATATCCCAACCGAAACCCATTGGTCCATTGTTGATTTCGCTTTCTTTTGTTTTTTGTGTTTTTTGGTTTTAAATAACTGGGAGGAGTTAGGTTGGGTATAATGATTAGTTTTGTGAAGTCAGCGAAAATGAAAGCTGTACCATTTTGGCCCGGCTTCATAAACCGGTTAAACCGTTTCAAATCTGTTACGCTGAATTCCGGTTTTAGATGCTCTAGAACCACTTTGACCGGTCTTAGTTTTATTACGCTTTCATTTAGCTTTCCAAAACAATGTATAGTAGTAGCATACCAGGAAAGTATTGTATACTCTCCTTGTTGTGAGTTTTTTTCTTGTCCTTTTGACTTCAACGCCATTTTTGTAAATTTAAAAAAATCTATTCGACTGACAAAACCTTTTTAAAAACATTAAGAATAACAAAAAATTCGAAGTTTATTTTTTGCCGTTTTCCTCTAATTTTATTTCACCTTCTATTGTTCACATCCCAATCTATTTGTTTATTATTACTTTTCATTCAATTTCTTGTTACTTTTTTCCATTGGTTCATCACTTCCATTATACGTTATATAAAATCATTTTCTGTATTTTATTTTTCTACCAGATATTTCCATATTACTATATTTATTTTATCTTCTGTTTTTTTGTGTGTTTGTTTCGATATTTTTCTTAAATCTTATAAAATTTTATGTCACTCTATGTCTTTGTTAACTATCCCACTTTGAAAAAAAAAAAGGATCACACGTATGCATTTCATAATACGTTGATATGGATATACGTCATAATGTTGTTTTAAAAGATCCCGTATAGTGTATGTCATAGTTGATTAGGTTATGGTTAATTTTGGACTAACCTATATTTAATTTCATATTTTTTTACCAATCACCGAGGAATAAGTCACCTACTATTTTTGGACTATTAAGGTTGTGGCGTATAGATATATATATTTTTTGTTTTTTTTCGTCAAGTGCTTGAAATAAATTAGTTGTATCAGTGTGTGCGATTATATCTATATACGTCATATATATATATATTATTCTATATATGCCCCATTATCCAGTTATGATTATTAATTTAGGCATTATCCAGTTAGGAAGTGGTATTTTGGATAATATATTTATAAGAATTAAATTTTTGTGTTTTTGGAATCTTTGTCTATGGGTTGTGACATGTATATATATATTATATGTATCAAATAAGTTGTGGATTAGTCAATGGGACCAATAGATGGACCGTAAACCATAAGTCTATACAATAGATAGTTTTGTTTAATTTACAGATGTATCCATGTGTCATGTTTAGATACTACTTACGAAGCTGGTGGTGAAAACTAATAATGATTTGTAGGATGCAATTAACAGCTAGTTAATTAGTAAATGATAAATAAGGATGATGCCAAAACACCCATAGTATCGCCTCAAGTCAACCTTTTGACCTATCATACCCTTGTCATTATTTTAGATAATTTTAAAATATTTTTTCTAATAACATGTATGCGTTTAAAGAAGTACTCATGCAAAACGATTACATGCAAGTATGGAACTTACGTTAGTTTGAAATGTAATTATTGTACTTCTAAGAGCGGATATACACCTGGAGCAACGAATTAGTGTTTTTTTTTGTTAAGGGATTATATATAACGACTAAGTCATCACAAGTCTATAATTTCAATTACAAAATTATATTTCCAATCGCTGGAACTCTTAGTCCAATGACTTAATTGTATTAGTATTGATCTTATGTCATCATTCACATTACGTTTCTCCGATAATGACCAATTAATAAAAAATATTTTGTAAATTACAAGAATTTACTCACTTAATTTTGGCAGGTAATTTTACTGTTAATACTAATCGAGAATCAGTCATATTTGCTAATAGAAAACACAAGTGTATCTGAAGAAGCGAAGTATTGACAATGGTGAAAAGATGGCTAATTATTCCAGTTTTACTTGCTTTGAACTCTTATTCAAAAATTAAAATACTGGAAGCCCGGTGTAATTGTGAGTGATTTTGATAAACTTATTTGTATTGTTTACGAATACACTAATTGAGAAATTAATAAAACTATATAAGATATTTTTGATGAAATAATGTCGGCCTTAAAATTTACAATGCTTTGAACTCCGACTCAAAAAAAAAGTGGGTCAAATCTATCTGTAAAACTTCTTATTAAAAACATGTTAATTACAAGTGTTTGTATCTTTCCGCATTTTTTTGTCTGTTGCTTTCGAAATCTAAAGAGACAATGACCAACGTATCTTTTCATAATTTTAGTTGACCGACTTTTCTCCTTTAAAACATTTGTTTGACCAAAATTAATTTTGTTGACTTACCCAAACCCAAACCTATTCAACTATTTTCACTACGTTCTAAAACCATTCTTCTAGCATGTTTACCACATTTCCAGTATGCTGATTACTTTATCTATGAATAAATTCAAATTCTAGAGCTATATATAAACATAGATCCTACGATTCACTACATCTTTCCAAACTAATCGCTTAAACATAACCCTAAATTTAGTTTACCCAATAAATAATATGTCTATGTCCTATGTGGCGAGCGACAATTTTTAGTTTTTTACTGTCTAAAGAAAATGGTTTGGCTTTGGTTCAAATTAAGGTAAAGATAAGGGGTAATAGTCTGATAACATTATAATCTGAAATATTACAAATTACTTAAAAAATTATTTAAAATAGTAAATCGAAGCTAAATTCTAGAATATAAAATAAAGAAAAACAAATTATTTTATCACCAGATGTTTTGATTTTGTTTAACAGTTATATTAGATATATAAGTTATTTTCAGCTTTACTGAGAGTAATTGGGTCAATTGGTAATTTGAAAAGTGTACTTTTAAAATAAAAAATGTATTTTTAAATTTGAAAAGACAAAATATTATTTCTTTAAATTTCCTCATTAAGAATTAGTATGTTGTTGTATAAAATATTATTTGGTACAATTCAAATTAACTGATAGAAAAATAATATCACCAAAATGATTAAGACGAGTGATGATAACTCAGAGTTGAAGTATTTTTTATTGACAGTTGTGAAGTTTCAATAAAAATCGCATCTTTCGAAAAATAGCATGACTTCAACTATTGGAATTAGAAATTAAATTGTTTCTATGGATATTGAGGTAGGATTCTCATATCTTATAAAACATGCTTTCATAAAAATTCTAAGAATTCGTGTACTTGTAGTTAGATAGAAACTATCAAGTAGATTCTATTCTTATGCTTTACGCATTAATGTTAAAAAGGAACAGCCGACGTCGAATAATGTTATAAACTTATAATGTTCAACTGCCGTCACTTTTCCCGCGTTTTCACATTATTTCTAACCAACAAAAGAATGTGAAAAAATAGGATCTAATATCATTAGTTTAATAATATAACAAATATATGGCGAATATTGGACAATACACAAAATGAGAAGTCACTTTCCACACAAGAATCAAAATAGTACTGTGTTGATGACGGCCACACCACATACCTTATTCTCAATATCATATACTATTATTAACATTATATATACAGACGATTTTTCGTCATAATATTAACATCTTTTATCCCAAGCAACAAATTCAGTAATAGCTATTTTAAAACATTATAGCCACATACGCGCCGGGTCACCTAGGGTGTGTGTTTAAGGTGATTTTTTTGGTTATCAGAATATTAATATATTTTGTTAAACAAATTTACATGAAATATTTGTTGTTACAATCATGTTTGAGAATACATATATATACATACATTATACACATGCATACATATCTATATGTATATGTATGCATAAAGCAAGGATAAGTTCCATTGTATACATGACAAAAAAGGTTCTCTTGTATATGTGTGATTGTTATTAATCCAAAACTTTCAGCTTATAACTTTTAATACTCGGAACTAGCATTTATAATATGTACACGTATTTTTTTTCCTTCCTATACATAGAATTAAACGCAAATTCTTAGTAGGTTGATAATGATCAGAAACACTGAACTCGCACCAAATTCTAGCAAAAGCAAATTCATTATTACAGATTTCTAATCTATGGTCGTTAAATCAACAGACAAAATGTTCCTATCGTGTCTTTACATCATATGACAAAACTGTTATAAGAAAATTATGATAATTTTTATCATCAAAGGTTGGAAATTGACCAATGACACTTTGAAGGCCACATATCTCTACTTGTTAGGCTAAAGACAAACCAAACCTTTTTAATCGCCACAAAGCATTAAGAAAAAGTAATAAGAAATAAAATTTCAATCTTTCTTTTCTTTAGCTCTCAGTCTTGATTGTTGCGTATCAACAAATGAGCATATTTAGGACGATATGTTAGTATCATAACTTTTCGTTCATGTTCTACATAGTAAAAGAAATTCGAGAGAGACACGTAAAATTTAAAATAACTAAATTAATGTAATTGAAAAGGTTGGGCCTTTCCAGCCCATTCTCTCTACTAAATCCAGCAGGCCTTCATTTGATGTCGTTTGATGACGTGCCACCATGCATGACTCGCATAGGAAGGACTTCAGGATTGGTTTTTTCCTCAAACCTTGAGTTATGACAAATCACTTCATAACGTTACAGTTTTGGCATGACATATAATCATTTACGAATAATGGAAAGAGAGAATTTAGCGAAATAGATGCCCCTAATCCAATGTATAGTGTTACTGGTCGAGACTACGTACACATATCGATTTACTCTAATCATAATCAATGTTCAGCTGATTTGTAAAGTCTAATATCTTTTTTGTTTTGGTAAAAGCCTAATATTTATATTATATATATATATATACATATTTAGTATGATATGATCTCCAATAATATGACAAAGTATTACGTATACGTTGGCCAAATCACATGAAATTTATACAAAGCACATGGGTTTTGCATAACCACAAAGAACAAAAGAACAAAGATCGAATTGCTATACACATATAAGTCCAAAAAACCTTTCTTTGGTTACGGTTTACATTAATTTATGAGCTTATGCTTGTCCTCTATTAATATTTTGTTTGCATGCATGTTGCATGTTGAGTGATATATATTTCTTGACAGGTTGTAAGATCAATCAATTCATTCTACTTTTAATAATAATCCCCACTCATGAACATGATGTCATTTAATATCTGTCATTTTTTTAATTAGAACACACAGCCACACACACACAAAACCCTATAAAAACCCATTTCCATCTCAAAGTATTCACACAACACATCCCAAGCTTGATAAAGAGAGTTCTTAGGGGTTTACCGTTTACATAACTTTAAGATAAACTCTTATAACTTTCTCACCAATGGCTTATCCTAAGATTGCTCTTCTCCTCATCTTTAATGTCATCTTCTTCACTTTAGTCAGCTCCACTTCAGTCCCTTGCCCACCACCACCGTCCAAGAACCACCACAAGAAGCCATCACCGTCGTCTCCTTACCGTAAACCCACTTGTAAAAACGCTCTTAAACTGAACGTATGTGCTAATGTGTTGGATTTGGTTAAAGTTTCTCTACCACCAACCTCCAAATGTTGCAAACTTATCAACGGTCTAGTTGATCTTGAAGCCGCGGTCTGTCTTTGCACCGCCCTTAAGGCTAATCTCCTCGGAATCAACCTTAACGTTCCCGTTTCGTTAAGCCTTATCCTAAACCATTGTGGCAAGAAGGTTCCATCTGGTTTCCAATGTGCTTAGAGATCCCCTTTTACTATTTATCATTTAATTCCTTATATTACTGTATAATCAGACTTCCTCGTTTTAAATTTCTCGTTTGAATCTATCATTATGTATTGTTGTAATTTTCTATAAATAATGACAGAAGTTGTTTTCTGTCTTGTTCTTCACTTATCTTTGTAACTTTTCCAATTGAATTGACCGTCCTCGATATTCGGTTATAGATTTCATTGTTGCACTTTTAATATATCATTAAGACCTGAAGCCAAAAAAGTATCATAAAGAAAACTGAACTCATCAAACATATTTAGCAAAGGCAAATCACTGATTGAAACTCGGAAATTCGGAATGCATATAGTCTGTAAATAAAACAGACAAAATGTTCATATCGTGTCTTAGTTGTAAGTAAATTTTGTTAGAATGAACTATTTAAAATTCAAAGGTAATTAAGGAGCTGACCAATCCGTACTTGTTAGGCCAGAACACAATCACAATTTAGTGACAAAAAAACGATCAATCAGGTTTTCGATCTAGAATTTTTCACAAAAAGTTAATTTTATTGGTTAAAGTTATATATCTGTTTACACTTGAAACTTTATATTTGTTTGGATTTCGGCAAATATTCTCTCGATCTTAAAAGACATTGGATTGGCAAAATCACATGAAAAGTCTTAAAAAACAGCATGTACACTAATATAATAATGTTATATTGCATGTTAAATGTAACGACTAACGATCCTTACATATCTTGACTGTTTGTAAGATCAATCAGCTCATAATAATTAAAAGTTTAATATTAATCCCTCCCATGAACAAAAAGAATGAAATTTTTATGGAAAAGTAATGAATTTTTTTTTGAAAGCTATTGGGGCTCTAAGAAGCGACAAACATTAAAATTTTATCTAATGAACATTTGATTCATCCGAAATGTGAAAGAAGACGTGTAGTGATAAACATAATAAACATTCAATTTTATGATTATAGGTTTTATTTATATTTATCTATATCAATCCATATAATGATTATCATTGCATGTTACATGTAACGACTAAAGATCGACCAAGATTTTGACAGTTTGTAAGATCAATCAATTCATCATAGATCATTTCAATAATAATCCCTCACATGAACAGTTCATCGAAATTATATAATTTGTTGCCACTCGTCAATTTGTAATTAAGAATAAATAAACCATTCTCAATCTTCACCTATAAAAACCCTAACACTCTCTCCATATCCTTCACACAAACACATCACAAGCTTGATAAAGAGAGAGTTTATAAGGGATTTCTTTTAAGTTTTAACTTTTAAGACAAGTTCATATAACTTTTACATCAATGGCTTATTCAAAGATTGCTCTCCTCCTCATCTTCAATGTCATCTTCTTCACTTTAGTCAGCTCCACTTCAGTCCCTTGCCCACCACCACCGTCCAAGAGCCACCACAAGAAGCCCTCACCGTCGTCTCCTTACCGTAAACCCACTTGTAAAAACGCTCTTAAACTGAACGTATGTGCTAATGTGTTGGATTTGGTTAAGGTTTCTTTACCACCAACCCCCAAATGTTGCAAACTTATCAACGGTCTAGTTGATCTTGAAGCCGCGGTCTGTCTTTGCACCGCACTAAAGGCTAATCTCCTCGGAATCAAACTTAACGTTCCCATTTCGTTGAGCCTTATCCTAAACCATTGTGGCAAGAAGGTTCCATCTGGTTTCCAATGTGCTTAGAGAGCACATTTTAAATTGAGATTCTAAATAACTCTACTATGAAGAATGAATTGATTCTTGTTTTAAATTACTGTTTGATTCTAGCATTATCTATTGTTGTAATTTTTGGTATGTTTTATCAATGAAATAAGGTCTTTTCGTTTTAAAAATAACAATCGCATAGTCTTTACTACTTTTTTGATTACTGGATGCAATTCTAGAATTTTATATGTATTATAACATCATACCATGGCACTTAACTTTGACCAAGAACATGAGATAAAACCGAACCTAGGAATGTTGGTCTAATTAAATACTTATAAGCACTGTCTTAATTATGGTATACTCTGTCACTGTCGGCAGATATAAACAACTTAAAATATGCTTATTCTAAATAATAAGCATGATTTCAATCATTGAATGTGACTCAACCAGCAAATATTTCAATCCCACGACAAGTATTATGCTTGACTAAAAGTAGTATTATAAGTCGTTCCATTTCGATATTTATATATAAAATCATAAAAGAACAAAGCATTAAATATGAAAAGCCAGAAAGTTGGTAGCATTTTCATTGCAAATAAGCCAAAGTATCTCAAAAAGGATTTCAACCAAGTAGAAAGTCAATACCCGAACCAGCTACGCTTTTCTGTTTATCCGAAAAACCGGTTAAACCGATAATCCGGATCAGAAAAAAAAAGGGTCAACATAACCTACCTGGTGCGTTCTTGACTTCCTCTGTTTTCTTGTCTTAAATACCCATTTTGACCCTCCCAAAAAAGAAGCCAAAAACATTAACTTAAAACTCCCGTTTTACCCTTACCATAAACCGAAAATTACCTAAAAGGCTTATCCATTTAGATGCTACATTATTTACTAAAATACCCTCGACTCCATAACCGAATTACCTCAGAACCTCCCTCTTATAACACCTAAGTTACCATCGTACCCCTGACTCGGGACTACTCTGAAGTTCACAAGGCAAAGGAGGTTTAGGGGTAATTCGGTCACTCTTGCTTGGAAAGGGCGGAGGCCGATGCGATCGCCGGAGAAATGGTGCTGCTGAGGACGGAAGTGATCTGATTGACGATGGAGCAAAGGTGGTTGTTGATGGTTGTGACGGTGGAGAGATTAGGTTTCGCGGTGGGGACGTTGCTCGCCAAGACCTGAATCCCGACGGTGAGAAGGCACGACGGCGGAGAAAGCGAATTGACGGAATTACCCTCGACATGATCCGGTGGATCCACGGGGACGACGGAGAACCCGAGGGGCAAAAGAGGAATACCGGAAGGATCCTCGCCGTTCATCGCGTGCTGGATTGAGTCGACGTCGACGGAGGAGTAGACGATTAAGCTGCCGGAGTTATCGATGCAGCTCTCTTGAAGCATCAGCTCCACGTTATGCCATGAATTGCTCGCTACCTGTAAGTAGAACAAATACAATCCAAAAATGAGAGATGCAATTTAAATCAAAGTTTGAATATTTAAATCAAAGTTTCGATTTTTAAATCAAAGTTTCGATCTTGAATCAAAGTTTCGATATTTGAATCAAAGTTTCGATCTTTGAACTCACGTTGATTCGAAGAAGAGAGATGCAGTTTCCAGGATGTGAACCATTAGCGATATGAGCAATTTCATGAGGTGAATTCCCATTGAACAAAACCTCCAACTGCAGAGAGAAAAGAAAGTTAATTGTTGAAATGATGTGACTTTAGTGTTTTAATTGGATCAAAAACAGAGAGATGAGTCTAATACCAGAGAGTGGTGATGTTGATCACGGAGAAGATCGAAGACTTTAAGGTGAGAAAATGGAAGCCAAGTGGTTGAGACAGCAGCAAGAACAACTCCAGTAGGCTGACCAGGCTCGCACGTTTTCCTCGTCGTGATCCTCACAGTGTCCTTGCTTGTCTCAGACAAAGCCGTCCAAGATTGTCCGTAAGAAGTGCTTATGTTCACACAAAATGTCCTCATCATCCTCTGTGATAACCTCATCATGTTCCTCCTCGCTTCTGCAGACCGAATCACTGCAAAAGAAAAACAGAAGTTAGGCGATTTTGACGGTTTTAAGGAATTTAAAGGATATGGGTTTTAGATTGACTAGCCTCCAAGGTCGGTTATGTTTCTAGCCATTTGACTAGCCATCCTCTCGCATTGTCTCTGCAACACGTCGAGCCAACGGTTAGCTCCAAACGCCGTACCGCTTTTCACATACTCGGCAAAGGTCTCGTGCACGTGCCTCTCGTCTACTTCCACGTGCTCGACCCACTTGACTTGTGAGTATCCGTTTGGCATGTCTTGAATGATGCAGCCTGAAGGTTTTCTCCTATACTCATTAGGAGTATTGGTAGTGTTCAGTGGCTGGATCTGGTCGTGGAAGCTATCGATCGGGAAATCAACGATTGCCCAGTTCCCGGTCTCTGCGTTTTGTTCCACGTACCGTAGAAAATAAGCTTCACGAGTTGGAACCAATGGAGATAACACCTGTAACTCTGCATACATCTAGTAACAACATAACAACAAAGATTCCATTAGAAAAAGGAAAAAAAGTTGCTTGACTCGTTTCAAATCGAATTAGTAAATTACCAGTAGAAGAGAACCACTAGCTCCAGAAACTCCAGATGAAATTATCTGAACCGTTTTTGCCCTAGCCACAATTGAACAGAACATCTCCGACCACTTATCCTACAAGAAAACACGAAATTTAGAGATTAATCGAGGAAGTGTTTAAAATAAGATGCGTTTGTGAAGTTTATAGTACTTACAGCATTAAGAAACGCGTCAACAAGCGTTATGCTGTTCATAATAACAACTGTGTTTGCCTTTGAAGCTTCTCTACGAAAACCTCCTTTGTTGTTGTTGTTGTTGTTGTTGTTGTTATGATTCTCCATTGGCCATGGGAACAACCTCATGTACTCTTCCTCGTTCAGACACAAAATCTTGCCGCCGATCTTGTCCGATTTCTTCTCAATCCACAGAGGCTCTTCTGTGTTACACATTTTAGTTAGTTCTTGGAGGCAAGAGACAGCGAATTCCATGGCGACAACCTTTTCTTCATCCTCAAGTAACATGTTGTTGTTGTTGCTGTTGTTGTTAGTTTGGTCTGGGAAGAAACAAGCAGTGTCTTGTGGAGGAAGCAACATCAAGTCTGAACAAGGATGTTCTGGAAAGTTTCCAGCGTATACGCTCATGTCTAGCTCCAATGAAGGTTGTTGATGTGGAAGCTCCGGAGCAGGAGGATTCATCAACGGCTGAGATGATGGCATGGATTGCATCGGACGTCCAGTGTATCTTGAAGCAATGGAGCATAGACGATCAAGCTGTTGAATAAGAGACAGTCAATGTGTTACACATTACAACCCCCAATCAATATATATACATACATATTGATAAAAAGTTTTGTACATTTAAGTTTACGAAAACTAGCTATTGGATTTGTAGATGATGGTATCGATTGTTTTGTCTTCTACTTTTGTCGTATAAACGCAAACGCAAACGCAAATGCAAACATTATTGGAGATTTGGAGTTACCTCTTCACGGAGGCGACAGTTCTCAATGTGGAGTTCGTTGAAAGGAATGTCACCAAGGACGGTGGGGCCGCCGCAAGAAGGGCAGGAGAGGCACCGTAGCTCCGCCTGAAGATGAGAATTCTCCGACTTAAGATTATCGTTATCTGCCCTTAACATCACATTTTCTGCTCTGTCTTGTTGTGCCTATATATATATTGATTCATCACAGTAAATAAAATATATTCATGTTATCATTTTGGTTACTCTTCTTATGAACATCGGTATATAGACATAGCACAATATAAATTGTTTAAGTACTATGTATTTACTTCTACACTCATACCATTAGAATTTAAGGTTTCATTACATTCTTTACTATTATATTTAGTTTGAATTATGAAACTTTCATGCTTTAGTTTAAAATTGAGCCCTTCTAAGATATGAAGATTGTATTATCTAATAAATTTACAAAGATATACATTAAAAAATGATTATATTAAAGTGAAAAAATGAATTTTAATAGATTACCTTCATTTGGGTACGCCTATTTTGGAACCAAAACTTGACCTGTCGAGGCTTGAGACCAAGTTCATGACTTAATCTCTGTCTTTGTTTGTCGTCTGGGTGAGGGTTTTCTTTAAACAATCTACAAAGATTTGATATAGAAATCACTGTTTCAAATCAAGAGTCGATCGGTATACCCAAAACGTACAAGGTCTACTTCGGTTTGGTAAAGTGGAACCAAAAACAGTTCTAAAAAAACAAAATCATATGATTCATATCTTATTTCGGTTTATATGGTTTTCGTTTTTCTATATTCAAAAACACTTGTTTGATGCCTTTATATGCAAAAGAGTTAGGTACTTTTGAAAATTAGTACTTTTTTTTGTTTGGTGGAAAGAAAATTAGTACTTTCTAAAACCACGAAATGCACAAAACTTAAACTCATATACAGTCAAGAAAACCCTTGAAAAGATTTGGATCTATCTCTGTTAGGAAAACAAATCCGATTATAAAATTGAGACTAAAATCAAACTGTTCTAAATCAAGATTTTGAACCGAAAGTCCACAAACCTAAAAGCCTATATTCAAACCGAAAACCTAATAACCAAGATTGAAATAAAAATCAACTTTAAACCAAAAACTATACTAAACCTAGCAAAACGAGTTTCAACGTAAAACTTCGATTTGGTTCATTTATTTATAAAACTGAAAAAAAAATAATCAAAAACTAGATTAAGCACAACGAGTGGATAAAATAAAAATAAAATGAAAAGTGGCAAAAACATACGCTTCCATTTCTTGGATCTGACGATTAGTATGTCTGTGGTAACGTTTCTTCTTAGCAGGAGGAGGTTGTTGTTCATCGTCTTGAAGTTCATTACCATCAAACTCGTTTCCGGACTTTGGATCTTCTGCCTGTTCACTTCCCGACCCGAATGACCCACCCACCGACCCGTTTTCCATCATTTCCTCTACTGCTCCATCTCCCATCATCATCATCATACTCATCATCCCATGTTCCTCCTTCTAATACATAAAATGCGTTAAAACAAAAAAAAAGGAGAGAAAGATTTGAGATATATATATATGGAAATTTGTAACTAGGAACAAACCGGGATAATGGAGGAAAATGAGTTGAAAGGGATGAAATTAAAATTAGGGTTTTGGATTGTTGCCGGAGAAGAAGAAGATGGTGGTGGCGGTGAAGCGAATCTGTTGTCTGAAGTCATCACATTTCCTTCTCCTATAGTCAACATCACTTGCTAAACAAACAAAAAAAAAAACTGATTAGTACAAAGATCTCAGTTAGGGTTTTTTCTTTGAAATCTGGAAGAAGTGATGAATATTCAAAAAGGAAGAAGAATCAGTGCATGGAAATGCAGAAATATTTTATGAAATCTTAGAATTAACCTCAAATGCAAAATCAAAAGAAAGAAAAGCATGAAAGAGGAGATTAATTACCAGAGACGACAGCTAGATCGTTTCATAGTTCAGAAAATATTTTTAATTTAATGCACCAAAACGTAACTGATAAAAACATTTATTGCTACTGATTTTTTTTTTCAAAATAATCTAAGAAAAAACAGGTCCAGCTGAAAAAAAAACAATTAAGACAGTATCTGAACATTGATGAGAAAAATAGGGATTGTGTAGTTTCTGTGTGTAATTATTTTTGGATCGAACTGGGAAAACATTGATGAGAAAAATAGGGATTGTGTAGTTTCTGTGTGTAATTATTTCTGGATCGAACTGGGAAATTTTTTTTAAAAGAGATGAAAAAACATGCATTCAAGAACACACAACACAAACTAGATAATCCACTTTTTTTCTTTTGACTTTTATTTTTTCTCTTTTCTACCAAAAAGATAGAGATTTTCTTTCACTTTCTCTTGTTTTCTCTCACTTTTACCTTGTTTGGCTTCCGAGAAAATGAAAGAAAAGAAAAAAAGCCAAGAATGAATCTCTCTAGTCTCTCGAGGTTTTGGAGTTTTCTCACTCTCTCTCTCTCTTTCCCTCTCTCTCTAAGTTTTTTTTTTCTTTCCCTTTGCAATAAATGGAGGAGTAAATTTCTCATTAAATACTTACCGGACCAGAAGGGTAAACGGCAGACTTTTTGTTTTAACGGCGATAATTGACGGAATGTAACGGCTGAAAAAAAAACGCTCGTGTTAAACTGCTCCGTCTTTTCCACGTGGACTTGTATTATTGGGACTCCGTACGTTTTGCCTCGTTCTAAGAGACCCCTCCACAAGTCAAAACTTTTTTAACTTCAAGTCAAAATATTATTCACCACGCGTTAACCGCGTGCGTGCTATACACTGCGTTGTTCTACTTTCACAAGTGGTGCATTACTTGCTTGCCAAAATAAAAAAAAAATATAGAAAAAATGTTTCATAGTATATCTTTAGTGGGCATTAGAATTTTTTTTTCTTTTTGGTCAAACAATCTAGAAAAAGAATTATTACCATATTAGGGTCAATGAGCCTCTTTTGCTTTGACGTTCATTGGGTCCAGTAGTTTATGTTAGGCCCATTTAAATATTGTAATGAACGTCAACGTAACGTAGATTTTTTTTTTTGACACATGTAACTGATATGTTCTATAATCGATTCTGATGATAGAAAACGTTTACGTTTGACTTATTTTTTACTATATAACAATGGTTACATGTGTCATCCACGTTTCACGTTTTAAAAGGTCGGACTTCGAAATATCAAATTTAGGGAAATTTCACAAAACAAAGTTGAAGAATTCTCCAAATTATGTTTCCATTGTTAGCTCGAACTCATAAAGCGAACTTTGACAAAATGATCTTTCTTTAAAGCTAAAAATAGCCAGAGATTAAACTTGAAAAAAAAACATATTTTAATGAGATCAAACGCTTTTAACTTCGATTGAAAAAAAAATACAAAAGACAAAGCATAGAGATTTTATGATCGAATTAAATGATTTAGATTCCGGGCGAACTTATGAATCTCAGCTTAAAACCTCACTACAAAAAAAAAGAGTTTTACATCACTTAATTTGTGTCACATAAATTAAATGATTTTGTTTTAAATTACTTATAACAAATGATTTAATAATATATCAGTTATTTTATTTGATTTAATTTTACATCATATAATTACAATTGATACAAAACTCTTTCATTTCACATCACTTGAATAAAAGTGATTCAAAAAAATATATTCACATCAGTTAATATAATCGATGTGTTTATTATTTTTTCTAGCATCACTTTAGAAAATGATTCACTTTTACATCACTTAAAAGGTATATTTTACATCACTTAAATTGCATCGAAAAATTAAATGATTCTATTTTGAATTACTTATTAACAAATAATTGAAAATATGTTAATTAACATCAGTTATGATAATTGATTTTATTTAGAATTATTTTGGCATCGGTTTAAATAAAACTGATACAAATCTCTAATAATTTGCATCACTTTCATAAAAATGATATAAAATATATGTTTACATCAATTAAAATAATTGATGTAATTATTGTTTTTGTTGACATCACTTAAAAAAATGATTCAAAACTTACATCACACAAAAAACTGATGCTGATAATATAATGTATTATTTCTTTGAAGCCCAAGATTAAAAAAAAAGCCTTAAAATAAGAATAAAGGTATTTTTGTCAATTCTTCTATTCTTTATACCTAGGGAGCTCGTCCCCCTCTCTATATAAAGGGCATAATCATTCTTCTAAGAGAAACAAAGAGTTAACGCAGTGAAACTCTATAAAAACCTCTGCAACATCAGTTTAATATTTGTCTGAGTGAGGGTTTTGCTGTAGCGTTTGCCAGCAACTCAGATCAAGTTAAGTGTCGATCTTCATACCTATGGAAAGATCTCGCTGCAAAGAATCCATAGCAGTTTACAGATCATAATTCCGAGGTACGCTCCGTTTTTTACGTGAGCTGGAAGTTGGCGAAAAATCATTTTTTCTGCAAAATCTGATTTTTTCAGTTTCGCAGAGCCAAATTGTGAGAGGCTTTGCCATCGATCCAGAAGGATTCAGATAGCAATCCACATACCGATCTGTACATCTCAGATCCCTCTCTCCAGATCAACTTTCAGATTCAGTTTTAGAGGTAAATCGTGAAAGTTATCACTGTATCTTCTCGGCCAAGAAACAATCTGGATTTGCAAATCTAAAACCCTAGTTTTTGTGTTATGTCTATTGTAGGGCCTGGATACCAACTCTTATTCTTCATACTTGTCTTTGTGAGGTTTTTAAGGTGAGGACTGTTAAATTGAGTTAGTAAAAAGCCTTGGATTATAGATAATAAACCAAATTTACCAATCACTACCAGCTTGTTTACTCTGAAGAATTGTTCATTGTATTATGTTAAAAATGTTGAATCCATATACGGCTACATAAACATATTTGCTTTTTGACTTAATATTACTGTATAATTATGTTTATTTTTTGTTTAGGTTATAATGGATAAGTCATGGATAAACAAACCACGTTTATCTCAAGACTATATAACCGGGGTGAAAAAATTCTTGGATTTTTCTTTTTCCAAAACAGATGCAAACATGATAAAATGTCCGTGTAACCGCTGTTCTATAGCTAAATCTAGATCTAGAGAAGATGTCGAAGGTGATTTAATGTGTTTTGGCTTTTTAAATTCCTACACAAGTTGGATACTTCATGGAGAGGATGTTGGTGTTGTAGGAAATACAATAGAAATATCTCCTGGTATTAATATTGCTCCGGGTGAATTAGAATCAACTATGAATCTTTTGGATGATCTTTTTCCTGATATTAATACATCTGATGGAAATGGATCGGAGCAACCTATGGACGCAGATGGACCATCAACTTCGAATGGAAATTATGGAAAAGGAGAAGGTTTTGATGAGTTGCTTGCTGACTTTAATCAGGAATTATATACAGGATGCACTAAGTTTACAAAACTGTCATTTCTGTTGAAGTTATATTATATCAAATGCATGTGTGGGATTAGTGACAAAGGAATATCCATGGTGCTCAGTTTGCTAAAAGAAGCATTTACTCAAGCTAAATTGCCGGATTCATTCAATGAAATGAAAAAAGTTATCCGTAAGCTGGGTTTAGCATATGAGTCAATTCATGCATGTCCTAATGATTGCATGTTATATTGGGAAAATGATGCAGAAAGACAAACTTGCAAAGTTTGTGAAGCTTCTCGATGGAAAATAAATACAGCAAAGAATTTGATGGCTGGATCAGAGACTAGGAAAAAAAAAGCTCCTGCGAAAGTTTTACGTTATTTTTCTTTGAAAACACGGTTGCAACGTCTATTTATGTCATCAAAAACTGCTAGCCACATGATATGGCATGCAACTGCTAGTAGTAATGATGGTAAACTTTGACATCCAAGAGACGGAGGTGCTTGGAAGGTATTTGATCAAAAATATCCTGAGTTTGCATCTGAAAAAGAGAGGTCGAGGCGAGGCAGAAATATACAATTCTCAACAATGGAGGAAAAAGAGTATATTTTTTGAATTGCCTTATTGGGAGTTTACTGTGGTACGACATAACTTGGATGTGATGCACATAGAAAAAAATGTGTTCGACAACATAATCTACACATTATTGGATGACCAAAAAAAATCAAAAGACAATTTACAAGCTAGAAAAGATCTTCGTGAGCTTGGGATACGTCCTGATTTGTGGCCCGATGATACCGGAAAGTACCAGACAGCATGTTTTACTCTGAATAATGCTGGGAAAGACATTATTCTAAATGTCTTAAAGGATGTAAAATTCCCTGATGGTTATGCTTCTAACATATCTAATTGTGTTGATGTTAACAATAGGAAGCTATCAGGTTTAAAAAGCCATGATTGTCACATAATAATGCGAGATTTGTTGTCAATCACAGTTCGAAAATTGCTGCCACCAGAGGTGACTTCAGTCATTGTTGAGCTTTGTCGATTTTTCGGAGATATCTCTGCTAAGGTCATTGATATCAATGAACTTGATAAATTACAAGACCGTATTGTAGTGACTTTATGTCGTATGGAGATGTTATTTCCTCCCTCGTTTTTTACAGTGATGATACATTTAATTGTACATCTCACCGACGAAGCAAAAGATGGTGGACCAGTTCAATTTCGTTGGAAGTATCCAATTGAGAGGTGAATTTTTCTCATTACATATACATCTATATTTATATATAAGTTGAAACTTACTTGATTTACTCATTTACAGGACTCTTGGATATTTTAAATCATATGTTCGCAATCGTGCTAAACCTGAGGGTTCAATTTGTGAGCAGTATTTAGCTGATGAATGTGTAACGTTTTGCTCAATGTATCTTGATGATATAGAGACACGATTTAATCGTGTTAGCCGTGCTGACCATCGACCTCTGGCTGACACAAGTGTAAGACCAAACTCAGAATTACCTCTTCTTTTTCCAAATCTTGGGAAACCTGTTGGTGCAGGTCACGTTCATACACTTAGTTACGTAGAGAGGTATCAAGCACATCGACATATTTTAGTCAACTGTCATCTACTTGATCCCTTACGAGGGTAAGTCTTTTTCATCAAAGAACATACTTTTTTTTTGTTTTATTGATATATTTTAATAAAATAATTCATGTAATTTTCTTTATAGGAAGTTCAAAAATGAGTTGTCGAAGAAATATGGTCGTCAGAACAGGAGGAATCGTGCGATTGACATTGACAGAGAAATGCATCTCCATTTTGCAAAATGGATCAAGGAGAAAGTAGAAAAAAATGAGTTAGATGGTATAAATGATGATTTACGATGCTTAGCTCTAGGTCCGTCTGAGAAAGTTGTGAAGTATACAGCTTACAATGTCAATGGATTTAAGTTCCGGACAACCGAAAGAGAGGCTGACCTGAAAACACAAAATAGTGGT